GATTTCTCTCAATCTATCACTGTTTAAATGGATTAAATAGGGAGAGTGGGTTTGTTAAATGCATGAATGCATTCAATTTGAAACCAACAATGAAAATATGAGTAAAATTTGCATATTATTCATTTATTTTATTTTTTAATTCCAAACCAAAAATCAAAATAAGATTTCTCAAATTTGATTTCATAAAATAATGTAAAAAACCAGAGAGAAGTTCCTTTTTAATTTAACAATTCCCTTCTACCTTAAAAATAAAAAAGGATAAAAAGATGATGAACTAATTTTTAAACTTCCTTTGGGCTCTGAGGTAACACTAGTTTAATGAGACACAGGTGGCGTGTAAAATAATACTGTAAAGGAGAATCTGAACTGAAAATATTCAGGGAAAAGCACCCAAGGGGAGGGCTTTATACAAGCCTCCAATCAAAAAACGAACTGTTGATCTCCAATGGAGAATTTTACACGGTGACATCACCACAAACTTGTTTTTATCGGTTATTAATCGGGGTGTTTTATACGAGTGTCCTTTCTGCGGCCTGTCTGAACATGTGTTCCATGTTTTTATGGAATGCACAAAACTAAAGACAATTTTTAACCTTTTAATTAGAGTTTTTAGTCTTTTTGGGACAGTTTTTACAAAGGCTCTTTATAGGAGGAGTTTCCCAAAACAGAAAAAATAAGCCAAAGTCCCGACTTTTATATTTTTTAATCAGTGAAGCAAAGATGGTCATTTACCTGACCCGCAGAGAGTGCAGGAGGGGCCTGACCTTGATGCTGTGGCTCTGTGGAAGTGCAACGTAAAAGAATAAGACTTGAGTTTCAGATGAAGGAGAATTACATTTTAACAAGCTTCTCTTAATAATAATTTTTAACTGACACTTTTTATGTCAATTGTTTATAAGTTTTGAACTTTGTAAATAAAGTGTTGTTAAAAGTTAAAAGTCTCTTAGTGTGTTATGGATGTTGGCAAACTAGTTGAAGTGCATTACCGCCACCAACTGATAAGCAGTTAAACGAGGAAACAGGAAACAAGACTCACCCCAGAAAAAAAATAAATAAATAAATAAATAAAATGAGTTATAATATATTTTTCCGAACTGTATATTTTAACCCAACATAATGAAATACATAATCAAATTTATCATCATAATTACTAATTTGTCTTTATGCTAATGTAACTCTGCCAGGTTCTAATTTCCCTACTCGTTCTCCCATCATACTTTCAGCCGTTTCCCAATTTAAATCTGTCACTTCAAGATACTTTTCTGCAGCTTTCACTATTATTCTGATTTTTTCTGTTTTCTTTGTCATCTGAGCACTACAATTGATTACTTCTACCATAAAAAGTACAAAATCTTTCTTTTTAACAATCAATGAGTTTTTTGCGATTTTGCGGGACTCCAGAGGTTTTGGACTTTTCATTTGGGCCACTGTTGATTTGGGTCTTTCTAACTGGGATGGGATTTTTTTTTTTCCAGCTTCAGCATAACTTATTCTGAGCTCCAGTTTCACTTTCCTTATCTCCACCACAGTTACAGCATTTATTTTAACTTCATTACTACACTTTCCATATTCATGCTCTCCATCACACCTTTCTCATCTTTGTTTGCCCTTACAGACAGCTGCTATGTGATCAGAGGTGATGAATTAAATGAAAACCTTACTGGGTGGTTGCTTTTCTTCACTTTTTATCAACATTGATAAGCTGTCAGACCTTTCTCCAGTTCTTGTTGTTTATAACTGTTTCACTTCTTTTACTTCTGCACCACTTATAATTTCAATAATCTCTTTGTCAGTTACTTTTACAGGAACTCCTCCAATGACTCCCCTGCTTATTCTTTTGTACTCCACCAAGCTGCACTAAACTCTTTTCCCCTCAATCTTGTTGATGCATATAGCTTTCCCGTGTTGAGCTCTGTCTGTGCATTTATTTATTTATTAACAGGTCTCCACTATACAGGATTTTGGCACTTCCGACTTCTCCTACAATTTTTTTTCAACTGCACCGGATTCCAATATGCAAAAGGCTCTCCCTGATTAACTAGCTTTAATATGACATAATTATTTTGTTTTACTGTGGAATTTCTAGATTGTTCATCACTTGATTCTTCTGTACTGGACTCCCCTTCATTTGGTCTCCACTTTTTCCACTTTTCCTAATTTTTTGACTATTCCATTCTTCTTTGTTTTCAGTATTTCCTTCTTCCATCCCACACAAAAATTGCTTCCTGTTTCCTCGCTAGTCACGTCCCAGGACATTTCACCACAAGCGACTTTGAAACACCCAACCTGTCACTCCTCTCACAAGCCAACCCCTTTTCCAATGAACTGAGTCCCAACCCTCAGTAAAAGAACTAAATGCCTTTTAAAGGGCTCAAACTTAACTATGCAAAACTATTAAAAACCACTAGGGTGTGCCACAACATAAGATTTGCTCAAACTAAACTAAACTCCTCCATTAAAACCCACCAATAACCCATGTAAAATAACCTAGCAGCCATATAGAAAACATTTAAAACCAAAGACCATAACTATAAATAATTCCCCAAACATGTAATCACAACTTACACAATAACTTAAAATTGCAGTGAACTATAAAAAGTGCCATGTACATGTTTCAAATATTTCAGTTAAAGTGCATGTGCTTCTTTGCCAGTAATGGACTGGGCCTTCGTTACAAGGAGGTAAGACAATTTGCAGATGGATTAAGATGATTTATGTTTAGAATAAGATAAACATCTCTTTTATCTTATTTCTAGTGCATAATATCTAAATATCTTTATTTAAGACCAGAAATACTAATTCCTTTGGCAGATCAGCCCATTTAGCTGCTCAATTTGAGGGCAAAATCACTGATATGGGATGATGGAAGATAGTGTTACTGATTTGTTCATTTGACTGACTTAATATTTTGCCTGGACAATGTAACAATTATTTAGAAATTACGGCCAATTTTAGTGAGGTCATTTTGCATCAAAGTCACGCAGCAGGACATAATAGATGGTTCTGAGTTATTATAAATCAAACAGGCTTATTTTTATACAAATATCATATGTTTAGTAGCCCTCTGACTATAGACCAATAAAAATGGATGAAAACCTTGATGGTTGAGCATCTACATTGGTAGAACCATCATCCACATCATCCTCAGGAAAGGATAGTGATGCTGAGAAACAAGGAGGCATCAGAGTTTACTGGTCCGAAACATCCAGGGTGGACTTTGAGATTACAGAGTCAGAGAGTATGACAAGAACTGCAAGAACTGGGCAGAGATACTCAAAAGATTTAGAGTGGTGGTTGGGGCTTCTCTGCAAAAAGAAAAAAAAGTATCACGATTTGGATTCTGAATCAGGAATAATCTGTGTATCTGTGCTGATCAGAGCAGACCTGTCCAATCAGAACAAGAACAACAACAGAAAACTCACATGGAGCACTGGACTATGCTGCAAATAGGTGCGTCTTCAGCTGCGTAAATGTTGGATGGCAGAGCTGTTACAAAGCACTGAAAGTGTCATTTTTCTACTGTGGAAGCCTATACTACAAAGATTGAAATCATATATCACTCTTTTTTGGCGTTTCATTTCACTTTGTGTTTTAAGATCTGTATTTTTATGAATGAAACATAAACACGTCAAATATATTGTGATTTTAGTGTAAGTTTCATACAGCTCCATCTCTCTTTAACTACTTTTATTTACAAATAACCTTTTTAAATGTCAATTCATGCTTTCATTTTCATATAAACATCTGATTCTGACTTTATGCTATTAATCACAAAAGTGACTGTATTTTCTATTTTTTGTAGAGATGTTTCTTGGCTAAATTCTCCAGTGTCTATTATTTCTTGCTTTTATAGTGTAGGCCTCTAGATTGTGTTGTACAAAGCTTTACATAGCCATTACAGAAGGTATTCTAAAACAAGTAATTTAACCTTAAAGAGCATAAAATGTCAAATGGCTTTAAGGTAATAAAGGTTAGGTTTAATTTCAGTGAGTTTTCTTTGAGTTTTCAGTTTCACATTGATTTGTGTTTTTCTTTGTTTTCTAGTTTTATTGGTTTAATTCCTATTTTGTTGTGTTTTCTGGATGTATTTGAGTATTTCTTCATTGCCCTCTGTTGCCCTCTTGTGTTGGTCCCCTTTTCTCTAGCTCCTTTCTAGAAGACTCTGTTCACACCTGCTCCAAATCAACTCATTAGTCCTGTCTTTGTTCAGTCAGCCATAAATACTCTCCCTGTGCAGTTACTAGGTGCTGGTTCCCCATCTTTCCCCGGCTCCTTGTGCATGTTTTTTTCGCGGATGACTCCATGATTCTGGATTGTTTGGATTTTTGTGCTGGATTTTTGGATTCCTGCCTTGTTTAGCGTTTTTGTGTTGGGATTTTGGATTCCTCCCTCTGTTACCTGTTGTGAACACTCCATTAAAACTACAAAAACTCACCTTCGTCTCCTGGCCTCTGCATATGGGTCCCCAAAACCTCAACCAAACCCTAACAGATTCATGTTAATAAGTTTAACACCAAAACTTATAAAGGTCAGTATAATTTCATCCATGTTTGCAAGGAGATTTTATATTGCTCTCTATTTTCTGTCATTGCAATGTTTCATCTTTTACTGCATTTTTTCTTTGCACGTGTTCAGTGTGTTTGTCTAATGCATTTGACAGTCAAATTTTTTTATTTGATATTCATTTTTGAGTTTGTTAGTCTAATTCTATTTATTTTGCTAGTCTTTTTCTTTTTATATATATATAAATATATAGGTGTCCAAGAGCTAGCTGATTGTCCAACAGCTTTGCTTTCACAAGTAGATCATTATGACTGTTGCCAGAAGTTGGTACTTGCATATAAAACTTTATATATCTAGGGATTAAAACCGTGTACAACAGACACAGAGACGGAAAGGGAGATGAGAATAAAGAAGACATAAGAACTAAGGGGAGTGAGAAAGAAATATAAATGAAGCTAAATATTCCCTATTTTTATGAAAGAAAAAGTTTTATTTCATCAACAGAGTTAATTACACATAATAGATTTTCATTTTTAAATAAGGAGGGGTAATAGTTAGAGAAGACTGTCACTTGGATTCACCTTTAGCCCAAAATGGAGACAACATATATCCTTGTTAAGTATAAAGTAGTGATAACAAATAAAAATGATAATTAGTAGTTAAATAAATAAAATCACAATACATAAAACAGACAAAAACAAACTAAGAAGGTAAGTTCCATAAATGAGATACTCTTCAGGATTTTTTCTAAGCCCCTTAAATGTTGAACTTTTATCAAAAGTTTTAAACACATGGCTGGTCAAACTTTGAGTTTTGAAACACCCTTTGTTTTCCCTTTACCAAAAGAAAAACAAATGGGAAAATGGTTTCCACATATTCAGGACTCCTTGGATGACATTAACCAAATGCCTTGCAGTTGTCCGATTTTATTTTATTCACTTTTACTGAACAGACTTTATAAGGTATCAAGATCAAAGAACTGTTCTGACATGAGACTTGTTTCAGGGGCAGGGGGTTAGTAACTAGCTTATATGACCCTTTGATAGTTGAAAGTACACGACAGGACATTTAGCATTGGATCTCTTCTCATGACAAGGGATTTTCTCTGGCCCGCCTCTCTCGGAGATTTAGCAGATGCTCTGAAATCCCGATCAACCAACCAGATGTCCCGGAAAAATCTGCAGCCACGTTGCATTACACAGACAATAACAGAACAGTTTTACAGAGAGGTTTTTCTGCCATGCCGTTTCAGCTTAGAGAGAGTAGAGCGAAAACAACTATCATGTTAGGTTTTTATTATACTAGAGCTGTTTCTATTTTGGTTTCACACTTTAAATGATTCAAAGGATTAAAGGACATACATGTATTTCAAGGTTCAATCCATAAATAAGAAGTCATTATAAAACATAAAAACAAGGATGAATCAGAAAAATATAACAATTGAAAGAGATCATCCCGTTGAGTGGTACCTATAACCTGTACAACTGTACTGAGAATAAAATTGTAGTCCTTTAGGGAAAAAAGAGATCTGTTTTTATGCTATACAATGATCAACATGGTACATTCTGACTTTAAAATAATTGCTATTCTTTGCCAGAAAATAACTGTCAAATTTCAGAGCTCTCACCTTGTAGGACAACCTAAATATTTTTAATAATCAGATATGGGGTTTGTTTGTTCTAAAACATATAACACCAACTAATGAATCCAATCTTGTATTGATTTAAACTGCTCTTTTTTTGCCTATTGAATGAAATTTATCTTCATTAATCTAAGACATATGAAGATTTAGTGCCAATGCTGACAGGTATTTGCAGTTGTTATGAATACCTACTTAACCATGGCATACTTGTAGAGTAGCATATTTCCCTACTATCATACCTAAAAATATATCTTTATATTGTTTCTGTGTTGAAACCGATGTGACTAGGAAATGCCATAAAAGGCCAAGCAGAAAGTGGAAACATTGGTTAAATGATGACACATCTAGACATGCATTTAGGTATTTAAAATATTCTTAGACAGACATCCTTAATTCTATACAGGTTTCCAATCTTATACAACCATACTATTTCTATGTTTTTTTCATTTTTACCCATTAAAATGTGAAAACTCCTTGGGTTTTAACAGCATTGTTGACTTCCCATAAAAAACTCTGAAATCTGAATCTTTTGTGAAGATGGTTTTAGGTCCATCACTTTAGCTTAAAATAGTACACACCAGCTTGGCAATAACCTTTAAATGCTGGCTGATTTGAACAACCTTTCTGTGAAATTTAATCTCTGAAGCATGTTAAGTTTAGATGGCATACTATAAAAGGTCTACTTTAAAGCAATCTAAGTGTGTTTTTATGTCTTTATATGTTTTATGTTTTTAAGTGATAGATTCAATCTCATAATAAACAGCATTACATCTATGTTCTCCATGGGTTTCTTATTAAGGTCCTCCTCCTGTCATGCTTTTCCCCCTTTTTTCAGATATCAGTGTTTTACTTCAGATCTTCCTTAAAATTAAAGTTTATACCCATAATGAATATTGGTTAACAATGTACAATGGAGGTACTGTAAGGAAATCAATTTAGGATGATTATTCCTACATATTCACATCGTTTACCCCCATACCGAAAATCCAGCAGCTAACCGTATGGAATTTTGCTTTTAAGATTAAAACCCATTCATTTTATTAGTTATCTCTGATATTTTAAGCTATAGCTCCAATCCTTAAATATTACAAATCCATACTAGTCACACTAGGGATGGGGAAAGGGGAACTTATCCGGTGGAAGATGAGATGTTCGTGTTTTCTGTGCCACTGCTCTGGGTTTCAAGTTGTTTTTTGTCATCTACAACTATCCTGCTTGAAAAGTAGTAGTAGACGAACAGGAAAAATCCTGCAAACACACAAACACATAAGGAATTGGTTTGATTATTTTTGGAAATTTTGTAATTTCTGTGAAATCCAGCATGTTACGAGTTATGTTTTGGCCTACCTTGAAAGGAGTTGAGGATGGTGAAGATGTAGTAGGAAGGAAGAAGCAGAGGGCCATAGCTAAAAAAAGCAAATCCCCATGTGATGCCCAAAAGAATGAAAAGACTAAGAAGAGAGAGAAACCTTTTCTTGGTGGAGCCATTTTTCTTGGCTTTTGCATCTTTAGATGCAAAGTATGTGATCTGCACAGCGGTTAAGATGAATATGGTTAAAGTGAAGAAAAATACAATGATATAGTAACCAATGTTTACACCTAGGTGTATTTTAGCATCGGGGATCCAGCACCTAAGTGTCATGAAAGAAACACAGTCATTTTAGAGCATGTAAATTCAATTTAAAATTGTAATTATCTGTATTATTTCCTCACATTGTTGCTGAGGTTTCATTATCAGCAGAAATGTGAATGCTATCATATTTGCTTGCAGAAAGAAGTCCAACCACCACCAGACTTGGAATAACTGAAAAGATAGGAGCATTTTCTTTCAGCTTTTAGTGTCAACTCAAATTAATTAATGTTTTAAACTCAGATCTCTTACTCCATCCAGTGCAGCAAATCTTGAACACGTAGTATTTGATGTCTGTGGGAACTTTCTGTAGATTGAAGTACAGGTGCAAAGCCTGCATGAAGAACCAAGTGAACGTGGCGAGCATGCTATAGTGCATAAATGCAGCCATCACCACACATGCTGCCATGTTATCCAGGTTAGCAATTGACTCGTTAATCAGAAAAGTTAAGTTCAGGAAGAACAAGGCAATGAAGAGATTCATCAGGATCTGTACAGCTTGGCTGGCTTTATTTTTCCTGTATGTCAAATAGTTTATGTTAACAAAACGTGAAGAGAGCAATCATAAATTTTAAAAGCTGATCATTTAATATTTATACCTTATGAGAAAATGCATGAAGAGAGCCACACCCAGGAAGAACATGGACATGCCGCAGCCGGCTTTTGTGATTTGGGTCAGTGCTTTCAAGTCAGCGGCACTGATCTGTCCAGTCATGTCATCAGTGGAATTACTAGGATTTCCATTACTATCGGAATTTCCTATGCCGAACGGTGACTGGTTTTAAACAAGAACATTAACTTAGAAAACAAGAGAAATATTAAAAGTGGTTTTAAGAAATCACATGGAAAATGTCCTACCATGAGAATCGCAAAAAATGTAAGATGAGAGCATTGGCATGTGATGCTGTCATTGACGATATTTGTTAGACAACCATCAGTGACCCAGCTTAAATTTGTTCCTGATGGACAACATAAAGAGGAAGTAAAAGGATGTTTAATGGATTCAATGACACTCAGTTATGAAACTGTATGTTCAGTAAAAGAGTGTTTTTTGTTGTTGTTGTTTTTTTTTAAACAGATGATATTACAATAAAATCTGTGGATAAATCATTCCAGACTTGTTTTTTTTTTTTTTTCAGATGACAAATGTCCTTATTTGGAGAAAATGTCTACAGCATTTAAAGAAAGGACATGATTTAATCTATAAATTTAATTTAAAGTGAGATAAATCAGCTGATATATCACAACTCTTAACCCATTATGTATAACCTTTACAAGACGGAAAGATGACCTGTGAAAGCAACCTACCAGAGCTGTTTCTCCCATCCCATGAAACACATGTGGCGTTCAATCCAGTCTGTATCAGAGCAAAAATGAAAGGTTTTGAACAGAAATTGAATATTGGTATAAACATTGTCTACATCTCTTTACCGTGTTCACATTGGTGAAATGCATGTCGATGGTTTTTGTAAGATTATGTATGTTTGCTCCCATTTCAATCCCCAGCATAGTATTATTCAAAAGTGAGTGATTTTGGTCAATCTGTTGAGAATAGAATACATATTCTATTAAATGATTATGTGTAGTTTCTATGAGAATAAGATCTTCCTTGGTTTTTACCTGAGGCATGTCTGGAAAAACCATAACTCCTGCAAATGTGCCATTTTTTTCAACCGCCATTTCACAGGCTTCCTCAGGAAGATAAACGCTTTGAGAGAAGTGCGTCAACAGGTCTTTTTCCTCGAGAACCTATTACAAGCAGACAATATTAGAAGAATTCAGATGATATTCATAGTAACTTCTCTGTAATGTTGTGTAAACAGATACTACTAACCTTCACTTTCTTTTCCAATGTAAAACCAAATTTTTGGCTTGTTTGATTTTTCAAGGGCAGTTTAGCAATCACCCCTGTAACGTTGCCCATTTTAATCTCTGCTGTACTTGCATTTCCCATCCGGTTTAGCATGGAGCCAAGATCATTCATGATATTTCTATAGAGATAATGATGATTTAGGTTAAGTAATATTACCATTAAAGTTGCACAAAGACACAGCTCATGGTGGTTGTTTTTTTTCTGTCCCTTTAATTGTGAGATCAATAACTTATATTTACACTGCTTTTGTAGCACTTATAGGCGTGTCCCAGTCATCCAAGGTGATAGCCATATCTGGGCTGATCCCTGGTAGCTCACAATTTTTCTCACACTTTTTTGTAAAATTGTTAAACTCTAAGTCATATTTCCTCTTTTTAAAATCTGTAAAAAGACAGATATATGGTGTCAATATAATGTTTCTTTGATATTTGTTTTAAAGGAACTAATAAACACAAAATGACCTTCACATTTCTCTTGACACTTGTCACATTTAGTCAGCCTGATGTTTCTGCCACCTTAAAACGAATTATGAGACCATGTTAGGAGCAATCACTTTTCTGGACAAATCCAGCGTTAATCAGCACACTTACCTGGTTTTAGGCAGTTGTGAATTTGTAGGATGAGACCTGAGGGGAAATATTTCATGCTTTGTTTAAAGATAAAACAGTGCAAAAAAATTAGAATATTTGCTACTTTTCCAACAGTAGGGGGCAACCTTTCCCTTTTGCTGTTTATAACTGCAGGATTATTATTATTATATATATTATTTTTTTTTTTTTACCTTTCTTCTCATATAAAGCTGATGGCATACATGAGAAATTTCCGGATGTATTCCGCAACACTACAATGTCTTGCTCTTGTAGGGAATTTTCATTCAGAGTTATTTCGTAGGTCTCGTCCTTCTGAGTTAATTCTACATTGCAGTCAAAATCTTCACAACAGACTAAAAATACACAATGTCAGAAATATTAAGTTAGTAACAACAAAACCTTCATTTTTTTAAACCATAGAAAACCAGAAAGTCTCTACCTTCATTGTTTCTGTTTTCCTGGATGTTAAAACAAAACTTTTTCTTAACAGCAGCTAGAAAATAAAACCACAAAATATATTTTTTTTCTTATTTTGAATATCCACTTTATGTAGAATATTTCATGATGAAAAGCCAAGCTTACTTGATGGAAATGTTGTACCATTATCAATTTTACCACCGATAAACAGTATCTTTTTAAACTCTGTAATAAATATAAAACAAATAAATAAGTGTTAAAACGAAAACAAATACATACTAGTTATGAATACAAATATGTTACAGTATTTACCTGGTGCATCAGAAACAGCATCACAAACAGCATCACAAACTGGGTTCTGAAGCAAAAGCCCCAAAGAGAGAATAAATGTCTTGAAAACCAACATCCAGTGAAGATTTAGTAGCCGTGCCATTTTTAGAGCATATAAGAACGATTAGTTTGAAGTAAGCCAAAGATTATATGCATGTTCAAGTCCTGCTTTCATGAAGAGCTGCTTCTTTCACACCATTCAGAAGAATTCTGCATAACATTTTTTTTTTACCAAGCCACAGTATGTCCCCATGTGGTGTCATAGATATACTATTTCACTTGCAAATGCAGTCTCGTTGTTTAGCACTGTTAACTTGGGGACTATTTCCCTACATCGTGACTGATAGAGGGCTGGTTAATGTTTTTATGTATGTAAAATTGATTTTTATAGTCACCAAGAATTTCTTTTTTTATGCATACATGTTTTATAGACACTTTCTTTTACTTAATCTAATCTAATTATCTGGTCTTATTTACCCTGAATGCAGGGGCGGATCTAGAAAAATATTTATGGGGTGGCGATAGGGGGGCAGGAATTTTTGAGGGATGGCAACATATGGCATTTTTTTTTTACACTGAATTTAATCACAGTTATCACAGTTTGGTGAGAATAGTATGTACAGTAAGTGTTTCATGTGAAACAGTTCTTATTAGAAATACATCGTACAATGTGATCTCATTTAATAGGAGATAGAAGAATGATAACACTACTTTTAGAGGGGCATTATCACAGGAAAGGTATTAAGGTAAGACACAGGTGCTGAGTCGCAGATATGTGAGATTGACTGTCAGAGAGGCAGCTTTTTCCGCATTTGCACAAGAAGAATCGATAGAAAGAAAAACTTAGCCATCAGAGATCTATGGACTGAGCTGTACTAAAATGAGCATCACTACACAGTAGAAATAAATGGGTCAAGGTACCCAAACAAGGTACTGGACATCCATGTATTGTTTCCTCTGAACACACATTTACCCCATTTTTTTCTAAGTAACTTGACATACAGCAGTTAAGGCAACATGAAAGGGACATTTCATGTCAGGCTTAACTAACATCATAGTTAGAGAAATAACGTTCTGCAACCTGATTTTTATCATCTCAAAATCAGCATTGCAGCTATGCTAGCAACATTGTGCTTTCATTATGATTTAATTTCTCGATAGATAGTTATTCAGTTTTTACCTGTTTCATCCCGTGACTCCTCTCCTCATGACCCCTGGCTCCCCATTCAGTTTTTAAAACAAATCAGTCTCAGTTGCTCTCGCGTCATCTCGTGCTGCATCCATTGCGGTCCGACATTGGAAATTAGCGGCTGTAATTCTCAAATTGTCCATAATTTATAAGCCTCGCCACCCCTACCGCCAACTGGGGTGGCAGCAGGGGTGGCAAGGCTGTCATTTAGGGTGGCATTTGCCACCCTATGCCACCCCAGTAGATTCGCCTATGCCTGAATGTCAATTCACTATAGAAAAAAAGATTTTCACAATGGCAGACCACTTTCCTGGTTGTGTATGTAT